TGCAAAACCTACGATAGTGTGTATTTCAGCCACAATTGACTACTAGTAGTACAATGTGGTGAGTACTGAACAGTGTAGTGTGGTATTAGTAATTGAAGGCTTTATTTTCATAAACCCATGTAAACGACAGGAGAGAGTTATGACATCTATCAAATGACATATTGAATGTACAAATAACACCTATCAAATTAAGTGGTGAGAGTTATGTGCTATGGGCTCAGTCAGTGGAAGTTTTTCTTAGAGCCAAGAAAAGGGTAAAACACGTGAAAGATAAAAATACCCTCAGCTAAGTCTCAAGGGTATAGTGAGTGGGAATAAGAGGAATCACAAATTATGATATGATTATGGAATAGCATGGAGACTAAAATTAGTGTGAATTTTACATTCTTAGATGCAACCAAAGAAATTTGAGACCATGTGCAAGATAACACTACAAGGGTGTATCAAGAGTGCTTTAATCTGTAGTAGGGAAATCAAAGCCTTGATGAGTATTATGCTAGTATAAGAAACCTTCAGAATGAGCTTAATGAATATCATCCTTAACATTGTATTTTAAAATTCAACAACAGCAAAGGGAACAACTTGATGTCACTAGATTTTTAGTGGGTCTAAACCCTGAATATGAGCCAATTAGAGCACAAATATTAGGTGGTGCTGATCTTTCCTCTCTTCAGGAGGTGTTTGCCCAACTACATAAGATTTCTATTGGGCCTTCAAAGAGTCCTACTATCTCTAACAAGTTTGCTTTTGCAGTGGAAAAAGGGGGAGGTCATAGGAATAGAGGAAGTGGTCGTGGAGTTCAAGGAAGCCGAGATAGTCCTTTGTTTAACCATATTGGTGAGTGTAGTGGAGATCGAGATTCAAGAGAAAGTCATGGTAAAGGACATAAGAATGGTCCTAGGAAGTGCGCATACTGTGGAATAAAGGCGCATACTGCTAATTGTTGTCATGAACTTATAATCTACATGGGCTAACCACGTTGTGACAAGTGGTGGTGGTGAAATCAGTGAAAATCAGCAAGCTAACCAAACACCTTCTACATCTATAAGTGCATCTACAAAGTAAATGGTGAGTGTTCCACATAATGAATATGGAAATGTTCTTTAGGTTCCTCACAACATAACACTACCACCCTTGCCTACTCAGGTATGGCTTATTTGGCATTCAAACCTTCCCACTTGATTATCGACTCTAGAGCTTCCAATCATAAGACTAGGACTTCAGGTGTGTTTTCTTCCTTCTCTAAGTCCTCCACATCCCAAACAGTTACCCTAACTAATGGTTATACTTCCCCTATTTGTGGTGTTGGTATTGTTGACCTTTCATCATTATTTTTATCTTCTGTTTATATGTACCCAAATTTTCATTCAATCTTATGTCTGTTAGCAAATTGACTAAGACTCTTAATTGTTCTACCACATTTTACCACTCTCCTTGTGTTTTTCAAGATCTCAAGACATGGATGAAGATTGGTAGAGGGCATGAAGCTAATGGATTGTATTATCTTGATGGTAGTGGTCTAAAATTCAGTCCTCTCTTACTCCTTAGTGGCATCGCAGGCTTGGTCATACATCTCTTAAAGTACTTAGTTACTTATTCCCACATTGAGTTGAGTCATCCTTCTTCCTTGGAATGTGAATCATGTCAGTACAAGAAAAATCATTACTCTTTAGTGGCATTGCAGGCTTGGTCATCCATCTCTTAAAGTACTTAAGTTACTTATTCCCACATTGAGTTGAGTCATCCTTCTTCCTTGGAATGTGAGTCATGTCAGTACAAGAAAAATCATCTAGTTCCCCTCACTCCTAGAGTCAATTGTCGAGTTTCAAGCCCTTTTGCTTTGATCCATTGAGATATTTGGGGTCCAAATAGAATTGTGTCATACAATGGTTACAAATATTTTGTAATTTCTGTTGACAATTATTCAAGGATGACATAGCTCTATCTTATGAATGAAAAAAGTGAACTATTCTCCATTTTTCAAAAGTTTCATGCTGAAAGTCGTGCTTAATTTGGAATAGCATGGTATTATTATTCATCAAACTTCCTACACATACACACAACATAATAGGGTGTCTAAATGGAAAAACCACCATTTGCTTGAGACTACTCGGTCCCTTTTACATGATGTAAATATTCTAAAAGAATTTTACCATGATGTACTTACATCCTGATTTATCATCAATCGGATGCACATGTCTATTATTGGAGGTCGTTCTCCTTTCTCGGTTTTGCTTCCCACAATGTCCCCTTTTCCTCTTACTCCTACAATTTTTTATTGTGTATGTTTTGTTCACAATTTGGGGCCTAGGATGGATAAGTTGGATGCATGTTCCACGAAATGCATCTCTCTTGGCTATAATCCCAAATCCTAGCACTCATTTATTTGTCCAGACATCACTTTCTATGAATCGATTCCATTCTTTACGAGTCCAATGTTCCTTCCTCACCACCCATGTTTCCTCTTCCAGATCCTATTCTTGCAGTTCCAGTTGTGTCCAAGCCTTCATCTTCAATGCAAGTTACTATTGAACGATCACCATTCACACAAAGTGTATACTCACTAACAAGTATGGTTGTAATCGGATTGGATTCAGATCAGATTCAGCAAAATCCAAATCCGATCCAATTATTAAAAAATTGCATATGAATCCAGTCCAAAATCCAATTAGATTTGAAGACCTTGGATTCAAATTCAAATACAAAAAAAAATTAAGAAGTTAATTACTTTCTAACTTTTATATATAATAAATAAATGTAAATATAACATACCTATTATTATTATTATATATAAAGTCATATCTAATAATGATATATAAAAATATATTTATTTATAATTTTAAATATAATTATATAATTAGATCAATAAATATTATAACATAATCAGATTCGGAATTTAATCGAATCAGATGGAGTCAAATCCAAATCCAATCTGATTATTAATCGGATCGGATGTTGGATCGAGCCACTGAATTTTGGGTATCATTGACAGACCTACCAACAAGCACCCACTCCTCTAGTTCTTTCTCCATCAATAGATCCAACAGTTGTTTCTCCTCCTTTTGACTTTATTCTTCCCATTGCATTCGTGCAAAGATAAACGTAGTTGTACTCTTCATCCCATTTCCAATTATGTTACCTTTTTTTTTGATAATTGAAATAAATTTATTAATCAGCAATGATAAATAGTACAATGTCCCCAAGGAGAGGCACGAGATGCAACCTCTCCACACTAGTTAAGTACAACTTTCCAATATACTAGAACAAGTTACAATGTAGCACAAAAAAGATCCTCACTAGAAACCCCCTGTTTGGACAAAGAATCAGCCATAGTATTAGCTGACCTGCTTACCCCATTTTACCTCAACTCTCGTATTATTGGTGTTTCAGCAATTCAAACCAGTAGACAAGGAAGGAGAGAGAGAAGAAGAAATAGTCGAACTAGTGAGGCTTAACCCTACTAGTCGACCATAATATGCATTATGTTGTAATTAGTGTACAATGACTAAACTACCCCCACTTAAGTATGGGACAAGAGAACTACAGAAATAATATCAGGAATGCCACATCAGCATACAACTTAAACATGATGAAAAGACTACTCTACCCTTACTCGACCAACTCTAACACCCCCCTCAAGCTGGAGAATATATGTCATATAATCCCAGCTTGTTACATATATAGTTCACTCTCCCTGGATTATTAACTCTGGAACCTCTGATCACATGGTCGGGACTCCAGGTGTGTTTTCTTCTCTCTATGAAACTTCCACATCTCAAACTGTTACCCTAGCCAATGGCTCCTCTTCTCCCATCTGTGGTGTTGGTAATGTTTACACGGCATCTCTTTCTTTATCATCTGATCACTACCACCATCTCCAGTTGCTGCCATTATATCCCCCAATCAACACCTATTTCTAATGCTGAATTCTCAGTCACCAAACAAATACTGCTGTCAAGGCAACACTACAGCAGTCTCCAAAACACTGATAACAGTCTCACAAGCAGTCAACAAACTTGATGTAAACTAACATTCAGATCAAGAACTTGATGTTTCAAAAAGATTCGGCTACCATTCAGATCAAAAATTTGATGTAAACGACCATTCAGGCAGACTCGGCTACCATTCAGATTAAAAACATTGATGTGAACTACCAGTCAGAGATATTCGGCCACTCCTTTCAGCAAATTTTTTTTTCTTTCTTTTCACACCACTACTGACAACTCAGAGATATTAGTCACCATGACAGCAACACAACAACTAAAACATCCACACAAACCCTCTTGAAACTACTCAATAGAGGGTAAACACCACCACACGACTAGGGCTGTCACTCATGGTGACAGCAGTATTAGACTGATATCCTAGGGCAGCCGCACCTTCCTAACACTTGTAATAGGGATTGCGGCAGTCATAAAAAAAATAAAAAAGTACCGCAGTTACCAGGTTGTGTGCCTCAGATTTCGCAGCCCAGAGAAGGAGAAAAGAGAAGAAAGAGAGATCGCAGGTGGGAAAACTTGAAGCCGCAGCTTTCTCCTTTTGTATCTTTGATCACAAAACCTATAAATAAAGAGTTGGTCAGTTGGGAGAAATATTGGATTCTCTCTAGTCGCTTCTCTCTATCTTCTCCTTCTTCTCTTCTCTTTTATTTTTCGCTAGGACTTAACCATTAACACGGTGAAATGAAGATGTTCAAAATATAATAATATTAAAATGAGCATATATATACAATTATACACCTTATTATGACACTAATAAAATAAAGTGTGTGGGGAGACACCAGTCACGTACAGATCATGACAGAAAACAGAGGCATTATATCATGTTACAATATAAAGTTAAGTATTCTTTCAATAGCATATTTACCACACATTATAGATGCAAATGCAATTATATATGGTAAGGACTACAAAATGGCCCCAAAAATTAAACTCGAATATAAGACCATATTAGAGTTGCTACTTTTGGAAAAGTATGACAGCAATTATAGTAGTAAGTACCTTAGATAAGGACAAAGAAATAGCATCAGTTGTAAATGGGGTTCCCTCCTTGAGCATATATACTGCAGTTGGTGATGAACTTTGGGATCCCAAATGGCTAAAAGAAGCAGAAGCCCATGGAGGTCTGGTACGCATATACGACTTTGCCATATCCACAGGTGATCCAACTTCAACTTCCCTTTCAGCAACCTGAGTGGGATTATCTAACATTAAATAGAAATGACCAAGAGATAGTTCTTGAAAAGGAATAACTTGAAACAAATGAAACTTGCAAAAATTCAACGAGGAGGTATCAGCAATGGGTAGGAGGACTGAAGAATAACTTGCATAGAATCTTCAGATTACACTTGAACTAGACAACCTAGTCAGATTCTTGTACTTAATATAGGATAAATACTTCTATGAAGCTGCTGAAAATAAATTGAAAATACTGATCTCTATGCAGAACATAAAAAAACTAGCTAGAAGAACCTATCATCATCTTCAATTCATGTGCTACACCAGAAATTTCAACAAATATAACAAGTATTACTCGGGATGCCCAATCCCCAAAACATGACAGCCCCGGAAAAAAACAATAAAAAAATACATGCCAGAGAGGATGAACCTCAATAAAAAATCACTGCCTCACATCCCTTTAAGCAAGGTTTCCAGAAAAAGAATTATCAGATCTCCACAAAAAGATAACCAAGGTTCTCTTCAACCAAGAAAACCATCCTACAATTTCTCATCCACCCAATATCAACCAGAAAACCATCCTACAATATGTACTTCTACAATCTTTAAATACGCCTCCAATTTTTGGTAATAAGAAAATAAATTTTATTAATGAAAAAAGATGGAATACAAGTACAACTAGGAGATATTGAGAGATGACCCAGCAAAAGGAAAAAAAGTTACATAAACAAAGAAAACAAACAACTAGTTTCATCCCCCCAGTTCCAACTCTAAGACTCACCATAAACCAATCCCAAAAGAGTCTTTACTATCATCTACAAATCCTTGAAGAATCATGATCCAGTCCAAAATTCTTCTCCTAATAATTGAGACAAGATGGTTATGACACTTGTTGGTACTCAAAAATTATTCTGTTTCTCTCCTACCATAATTCCCAACAGATTGCAAAAGGAACACAACTCCATGCTTCCTAAAGATAAAAACTCATAGCTAATTAGAGGGGGCTACTTGAGAATAATCACAAGCCTGACTGGATAGAATTGAACAATTAAATATTACATAGAAAAATTAATGTTGAGATCTTCCAGATACCATAGACAATTTTATCTTAGAAAATGCTAAAATAAAAATATGCCTAACTTCAATATCAAAGCATATAGGTAAGGATTTCTCAAATTTAAATGTCCAGAAAGATGACCCAGTTCCCTGAGTAGTGAGTAGCTTAACACACAATATTCTGAAAACCGGTGCTGTACCCTAGCTCCTAAATGTCACAAGTAAACAAGTTGAAGAAAAGGACATTTAATTATGAAAAAACAATCTTTAAATACTCAATGCCATATCCTATATTCCTGTAAAAGAAACGTAATCAAATATTAATACCATACGACCACAGGCAGAAGGTTTCAGATAAATGAGAAAGTGCTTTCAGGAGGATGGACAATCCTTAGAAAGATATGGAAGACATAGGAAGAAGCATCATATCTGCAAGACATCGTCTGCACTTGGCTTTAGAGCATGTAAATGGAACAAGGAAAGACATCAACAAACCTAAAGCAACATTAGCCAAACAGTAAAAAGTAGATGGAATTACTTAGTACTGCAGAACAAAAAGAAAAGCAAATTGAGAACAAGTCCTAATAATCTAGCTTCCAAATAAGCTAATTACTAAGATATAGGAACTCCAAGAGAAAGCAAAGAATCGCTGACATGTAGTTGCTTACTAGAGTTGAAGGAAAGTTAGCTGAGAACTAATCCATGCAATCTAGCTTCACTAATAAGGCTACCATTAAGATAAACAGGAACAGAAAGAGATAGGAGAGAATTACTAACATTTAGTTGTTTAATAGGTTTCAGAGTACAGGTTCCATGGTCCACTACTGTCTTTGCACTAGATTCAAATCTCTTCTCTTCTAGCCATTTCTTTGCCTCCATAACAGCTGTATTGCGTAGACTGGTGACATTTCCTTCAAGTGAAGAAGCCCTAGGAGACAAATTATAGTTATCGGCTAAGAAAGAATATGCAGCGGATGAATTTTTTGTATGCCATTGCAGTTCTGAAGAACCTGCCAAAGCAATACTACTTCCAATTATTCTGTCAGCCAACTCATTTTGTCTTCCATCTTGTTCTGTAATGGTTGGACAGTCTACAACTCGTGATTGAATAATCTTTGTTAATCTATCGCACTCATCCCTGGTGAAATAAATACCAAGACATCCATTCAGAAATTCAAAGATTAAAAGCAGATGTTAAATGAAATACCATTTTTTACTAATATAAACATAAATATTTTGCAGCAATTTTGTATCATTTATCAAATCTAATTAAACCACAAAAGGAATTGCCCATTTTCATGACTGGTTCTTGTGCATGGTTTAGACCAAAAACAAGGTCAGCAAATTCCATTTCAAGGAAAAATTGGGTAATGGAGATTTTCCTGGGGCATTTAGTGGGAACTTTTAAAATTGCCTAAGACCATACTTATTCAGGTGACAAGGTGAGAATAGGAACCACCTAGGCAGGTTTTTTTTGTTTTTGACAAAAAAAGTTACTTTTTTATGATTAAATAAAAATTTATTAAGAGCTATGATTTGTTGATTTTGATTCATACTAATGTGTTCCATATTTTCAATTTCTTACTGGTCTGTACTGAAAATTATGAAACAAGGCCAATTATAATGAGGCTTGCATTTAAACACACATTATACCATTAATTCCATGAAGCAATATCACTTCAAATCATATATTTCCATATTCCACATACAATATAATCAACTCCTATCAGCAAAGTAGAAAGTTCTTTTTATAGATACAGAAAAATTTTATTAACAAGAATCAAACAAGTAAAAAGGCATATTTAGGACTATGAATTTTCAGGTAATAAGAATCAAACAAATAATCAAAGAAACAGGTCAATAAAATCAACACAAAGGATCAACACAGAAAAAATACTGCTAAATATGATATATTTAGAGAACAAATAAAACAGAACAGAGTATACAACATATGATGCAGTGCTTCTTTGCTCTTTTCCTTTTCCTTGCCTAAGAAGGCAACCAACATGTATGCAAAAAAAAAGCAAAAAAAAGTATAATATAAAGGAATCCCCAAGAAAACATTATATTGCTCCCCCCCCCAAAGGAATAGAACATGGTATACAACTATGCCTAAGACTTCCACTTTGACGGAAGAACTATAAAAATTGAATGTTGAATGTTTGTGTGGAACTTCGAGAAATGTTGATACAAACATAATCAATATACAAGTACAAAAATTTTAAAGTACAAACATGCTTGTAAATGGTTATATATGTTCATTTCTACTCAAACTAATATCCATACAAATGTAGTTTCAATTGAGTATCTTTAAAGTTCAAAAAGACACGGCAATTTATATGTTAATCTTCTGGTTTTTGTCATATTTTTTAAATACTAATAAATAGACTAAAGTTCAACTCAACTCATCCTTAATCCCAATTATTTGAATCAGATACACGAACCCTTTCCCACCATTCTGCTCTATCAAGAAGCATCTTAAATCATGACTTACCATTTAATCCACACTTTGGTCTTCCCTTTGATCTTTAGAACCTTCTAGCAGCACCATGCTACCAAGTCACCCCTCACCAGTACAGTCATTGTTCATCTATTCACAATGTCACATGACCAAACAAACCATCTCAATCAACTTTCCATCATCTTGTCCCAAAATGGTGTGACTCCTAAATCCTCTCCAAACTGCACATTCTAAATATATCCTTTCTTAGAAGTAATTTTACTAAAAAGTAACCACCACAATAAGCAAACACAGGGCAGGCACAATGAGCTGCCAGGCTGCAAGAGACAAAGATAAATCATTCCATAGGCTAACAGATCGCAGAAATTGCACAATGGACAGATTAGATAAGTCATTGGTGGCAGCAGCCCAAGACCCAAGCTTACAACTGGTTATCCTGGTTAGCTCCTCAAACTTGTATGTGTTGTTGAAAATTCTATTGTTTCTCGGTCCATACTGTTGTGGCCACCGGTTTCCAGGTCAGCGGCTCAACTGTCCGGGTCGACCGGTTCGGACGATTTGATTATTAGGGCAAATATTATTACCTATTCTTAGACTTTTAGTCTTGTATGAGAAAAGAGAGGCTGGTTGTCAGCTGAGCAAAAAGAAAGAAGAAAAGAAGGAAAGAAAGAAAGGAAAAGGAAGAAAGGAAGAAGAGAGGAAAAAAAAAGGAAAGGAAAGGGCGAAAAGAAAGAAAATAAGGAAGAAGGGAAGGAAGAGGAGGATTTGGCGTTCACTGGCAATGACGATGGCAACAGCAACAGCGAGGCAGTGGCAACAGAAACACAGATTAGATCTCAGATCTGAGATCTAATTTCTCTTCAACATCTGCAATCTTCTTTTTCTTCTTCTTTCTCTGCCGTATCTGGGATCTAGCGATCTCAGACCTGAGATCATTCTTGTCTCAGTATCTCCGCTCTCTGATCTCCTTGCAACTTTATTAAACCACAAACCACTGTCTGGGTGGGTCGATGGTTCAACTGCCCGGGTCAGCAGTTTTTGACCAAGTCAACGTTTTTTGGTCCAGGAACGGGTTAAGGGTGAAACAGAACTGGTTGCCTAGATGGTTTCCGGGCCAAACGGTCCAACCGTCCAGGTCAACATCTGCAATCTTCTTCTTCTTTCTCTGCTGTATCTGGGATCTAGCGATCTCAGATCTGAGATTATTCATCTCAGTTTCTCCCCTCTGATCTCCTTGCAACTTTATTAAACTGCAAACCGCTGTCCAGGTCGATGGTTCGACTGCCCGGGTCAGCAGTTCTCTGACCAAATCAATGGTTTTTGGTCCAGGAATGGGTTAAGGGTGAAACAGAACTGGTCACCTGGACGGTTTCCAGGCCGAATGGTCCAATCGTCCAGGTCAACGATGGTTCAAAAACACTGGTCCACACAACAGCATCAAGCATACCCCACACAAGCTTTCCTTTGTTGCTCAAACCCTGAGGTACCCAAGATCACTAACAGCCTGAGATGCAACCCAGTAATAGCTTTGCATCTCTCAGCACAGCCAGATATCTTGAGCCATAGGGCAGTGAATAAGGAGATGGTCCACCTTTTCCAGGGCTTTTGCACACATTAGACAAGATTGGTCTTGAATCTGCAGACCTCTTTTTAGCAGGTTATCAATATGTTGTTAGGCATTTCCCTGATACAGAATACCAAGCAGAAAGCTAACTTTTTAAGGTACAGATGGAGTGCAGCCAGATTTCATGAGCCGTAGGGCAGTGAATAAGGAGATGATCCACCTTTTCCAGGGCTTTTACACACATTAGACAAGATTGGTCTTGAATCTGCAGACCTCTTTTTAGCAGGTTATCAATCTGTTGTTAGGCATTTCCCTGATACAGAATACCAAGCAGAAAGCTAACCTTTGAAGGTACAGATGGCCTCCAAATCAGCTTACAAGCGAAAGCTCTGTGACCGAAGGGTCTCAGGTTTCTAGCAAAAGATCCGACTGAGAAAATCCCGCTTCCAGCACCACTTGAGCAGCTCCACCACACTCCCTAGCTCCCAATCATGAAAATTTATGCTAATCTGGGAACCCAAGCCACATTACCACCCTGCCTTTGATATGACTCAGACACATAAGCTTCTTCATTGTCTGCCAGCAAACACAACTGTGGGAACAGCTGTTCAAAAGGCCTGCCTGTGCCCCATCACCTAGCTTGTAAGAGGTACCTTTTGAGAATGCATTCTAATTTTTGATAATACCTTTCCATAAAGAGCAGCCATGGGAAGGAAGAGGATCATTTTAGGTCCAGCCTCCTAAGGGCACACCATATTTTGCAGCAATTATCTTCCTCCATCAATCCTCTCACTCAACTCCAAACCTCCAGATCCATTTACAAAGAAAGGCAACATTAAACCCCTTGATTCCTTAATGCCAAGCCTATCCACTTCAATAGGGAGACAGATTTGTTCCCACCATAGTTTTCAAGGCACCAAGACAAGGCTAGGCAACAGGGGAGCACCTTGTCACTTAGTCGCCTAGGCGATTGATTTTTTCAAGTAAAAGACATATATCCTAGCATAGTTCCCTAGGTTCTATAACCATATTTCCTTAATAATTATCCACAATTTTCATGAGAAAAGTATAAACTTCATGTTAAAAGTATAGAAAATCAGCATATTCATGAGAAGAAAAAGAAGAAAAGAAAATTCAAAAATATATAGGCTGAACCCCTATTTTTGTTATATGAAGAAAAAACGAAAAAGGTGGAAGAAGAAGTGGCAGAAGAAAATGTGTTGATTAGACAAAATTTTAATTTCTTCCTTACTGGTTCAAGTTTTGGAGTCTTTGAGTGTTCAATACAGCATTTAGTAATGTCTGTGTTGATTAAATCCTAACAAATAAGAAAATAATAAAAAGAAATTAGTATATAAACACACAAAATGAACAAACAAATGCCTCTCTCCTCATGTGTATGTCCTTTGTAAGGACTGTGGTGAAACCCTACCCCACTTACTTTTATCCTGCTCTTTTGTTTCTGGTACTTGGGAATTTCTTTGTTCTCTCTTTGGATGCAGATGGGCTCTCCCACAGGATGTGGTAAGTCTATTCAGCCCCTCCTTCCTGAGGCAACAGAAGAAAAGAGGAAAGTGCTTATGGAAGGCAGCAAGAGCTGCTACAGTATAGACTATATGGGAGGAAAGAAATCAAAGACTTTTCTCTGAAAAAAAGTAAATCAAAGGAGGAAGATATTGAAGCAATAAAAATCAGAACTGTACATTGGGTGATGACCATAGAGCTATTCAAAAATTTCTCCACGAATGAGATTCTAAGAAGCTGGACTGAAGTAGCACAAACAGATGTATCCAAAAAAGTTGAGTAGAATGGAAGCCACCTGCACTGAACAAACTAAAACTAAACTTTGATGGGAATTGTTTTGGTAACCCAGGAAGGGCAGGCATAGGGGGTGTGATTAGAAATCATCTGGGTGAAGTGGTGGCACTCTTCTCAGGACCAATTGGTATCGGTGACTCAATACAGGCTGAATCTCTAGCTCTACATCAAGGTCTAAAGTTGGCTGAGCAGATTGGAACAACAGACTTAGAAATAGAAGGAGACTCACTACTGGTCATTTCTTGGAAGCTCAAATTTATCTTCAGAGAAATTGACATACTTGCAAGGAGGCTCA